CTACCAGTCATATAGTTAAAATGACTTCTGACATACTTACCATCATGGCTTTGTTGCATTCTGCCAGGTGATGCATCGACGGGGGTGGCATAGAAGTGGGCGCGAGAAGCGCAAGCGGGCCATCGAACGAAACAGTTGGTTTTTGCTATTCAATTTAGCAGCATCAATCTTTCTTTGCCTCCACGCGACAGTCATGACCCGAACCATGAAATAACAATCCAGAACCTTCCAACCAACACTTCCTCTGAACTAGCCAACCGCTAACCCACCTATCATCAAGGTTCGACTACCAGATAAAACCACGACGCCCTGCTGATTTCTATCTACATCACATCGGTTCGCAGCAAAAAAGGTACGCCATCTCGAGTCAAGCTTTCTCCTACTCTGCGATGTGCCGTGCCTCCTCCTGTGTTGCAGGCGTACGGCTGACTGCGTGGTATCGTGATAGCCCAAGCGCAGCCAGGAACACCACCTCACCTGCTCTCTGATACACTGAAGCTTAGCTTCGAACGTCGGCCCGTCACTGCCATACCATATAAACAATTACCAACTCAAGTTGTCGGATTGGTGCATAGGACTGTCGCGCAAAAAGCATTTCGTTAACTGCGAGAAGCAGAAGACAAGAGAGTACAGCACCGATTTTACGTGCTCCTTCATTTTCATAAATTAGTTTTTGCGTGGCAGTCATCTGCTTTAGATTGCCCTCAAAACAAGCAGTTTTGTGACTTCACAGGTTTCGGTACTGTGGCATCAGTCAGCACGTGGGTGACTACACAGCCATGCACGACATGGTTTTCGACGCCGCACTTAGAACAATACTGTGTAGGTGACGTGCCATGAATGAGTGTCGCCCCACGCCAACTACTTTGACAAGCTTACCTTTTGTTACCGACGCCAGCGATCAGAGTACACTGCAGTGTATCTACACAGACAATTCCCTGGCAGAAATGGTAGAGAATGCAGTATTGTAAGTGCAAAGCCTTTTTAGCAAAATTCGGCGACTTTCAGCGCATCAATCTATCTATCTATCTATCTATCTATCTATCTATCCATCTATCTATCTATCTTCTCTCTATCTATCTATCTATCTATCTATCTATATTTTCATCTATCTATCTATCTATCTGTCTAACTATCTATCTAGCTCTCCTGGGCGTTTTGAAAAGCCATCAATACCAAACTTGGTATGGGATAACATGACTGTATAAAGAACTTATGTGACTTTTCGCCACACGAAAATCCTGACATGTATGTCATGAATGGTAATCATTACATCGCTTGATCCTGCAGCTCTTGCGGTGGTTTCGCTTACATGGTATGCTGCAAAACTGGTATGATATGGCGTGATTGCATGTTGAACACAAGCGAAAGACCCTCACAATAAAATTATGACATGCATGTCATGCGACAACATGACGACATGCCACGCTAATGATACACTCGCGGCCGTTTCACTAGTGTCACGTATACCAAATTTGGTATTACAAAACGTAAATGGATGACGAGAAGGTGATACTAGTGCAAACATAATAAACATGAGATGCGTGTCATGTAACAGCATGACTACATGCTACGCTCTTGATGCGCTCGTGGCCGTATCGCTAGCTTAACATGTACCAAACTTGGTATTAAGTGACGCGAACACACAACATAGGTAAATGCACATCCAAACATGGTCATTACGACATGCGTGTCATGCAACCCCTTGTCTACATGCCACAGTGATGATACGCTCGCGGCTGTTTCACTAGCTTCACAGATGCCACATTTGGTATTACGTGACCCCAATGGAATACGGAGGTATGTGACTGGTGCAAACATGATAATCATGAGTTGCGTGTTATGTGAGAACATGACTAAATGCCACAGTCAGGGTGCCAAAACACTTCTAAATGACGTGGTGCGCGTGCTCACCGGCGTTCATTTCGTCGCGTCACGCTGGTGTTGCCACGCCAGGCGCAGGTCCCGCATATACTCGCAGGCGTGCGCCGTGCTGCGTTGATTTGACGCATGCGCGTTTCAGCGCGTCCGGCGTCCATCCGTCCCGAAAATGAGAGAAACGCAGTATTGTCTGGGTAACGAATCTACTTATCTATCTATCTATCTATCTATCTATCTATCTATCTATCTATCTATTTATCTATCTATCTATCTATCTATCTATCAAATCACGTACGTCTGGGTGCTCTTACGATCAACCCCTTAACTTAGGGTAAACTTAAATTAGTTTAGAGGGTAAGAGGGTTTGGTGAATACGGCTCACTAATCCTGACATGAATAATGTCACAATGCTATCCCGTACGCCATCAAAGCCTTCTCCTCACACCTCTTTTGTTAACGCATGAGCGTAAAGAAAAAGCTGACATTGGCAACGTTGACCCTACAAAAGCAAATAATAAATGTTTGTGCCCCAGCAGAGGAAGCGAAGCCAAGCATTATGCGTGGAAGTCAGGTATTCTACCACAGACCCATGCAAGGTCTCCGGAATACTTTTAAAAAATATGCTATTGTTTGTGAAACGCCAATTTTTGTTCCTGTCTTGACTATTGAATTTTGCGCGTATGTTTAGCGTCCCTTCGTAAGGTTTCGCTTAATATAAAATTGCAACAGAGTCATCTTCTGTCCGCATGCTTTGCACAGCTTTATTTCCAAGTTACATGGGATCCGCTATTTTGTTGTGGGCTGTAGCAGGTAGCAAAATGTATGTCACGAAAGGATCTTCATCTGGTATTGCAGTGTGCCATTACTGTAAAAGAAAATCGAGTAGTTCTTAGAAAATAGAGAATTTTGTAAAGAATACTCTGAAAATACAGAAAAAAATGACTGCATTTGAAGCTGCTTGAACATAAATATGGGGCGAAGGTTTTCGGAGGTGATTATTGTGCTTAAAGTTGGCATAGTTCTGAGACTAATTGTGGTTGTGATACTTATATACATTTTTTATTCAAAGAGATAGCGCTGAGACCATTGCGATATAGCGGTGATTCTTCCTCAAAGCTGATATGAGGTTCCGAGTTCGGGGTAACGTTTTGACTTCATAATCACAGCTTCATTAGCTATCATCTCAGGGGTAGAACTATCTTGTCGGTATCGCCGCCTTGCATCCGCTTCAAGTTGTCTCCACTGAGCGTCAGCTTGGCGTTTTTCCCGCTTAGCCTTTGCTTCCTTAGCCCTACTGTGTGGTGTAAAACTTTGTAGTTGCCGTCACCGCTTTGCATCCTCTTCCTTCTTTTTTGTCTCCGCGGTAGCTTCCCGTCGATGGCGACGCTGATACTCAGCACGTCGCGCTTTCCTGCTTTCGTCTTTGTCCATATGAGAGAAGAAAATGTGTGTTATGGAGCGTGGTTATATATATAGCATTGACAGCCACGCCATCACATTTTAGATTAACCACAGCACCCTCTGTTGCTTATAGGTTGACGGTTACATGCAAAACAGTTACCACCGACGCCCTCTGTTGCTTATAAGTTGAAGGTTACATAGTGTTACGGACAGACAGGAGACGGCGGACATCGTGAGGTCTTAAGGAGCTTCGCTCCTAAAAAAAGGCAGAATATCTACGGAGTGAATGATGGAAAGTGGGGCGAAGCATCTGTTCGTCCATGCGTCCGTCTGTGTGACCGTCCGTGCGTCCATTTGCCCGTCCTTGCGTGCGTCGTTTCGTGCGTCCGCACGTCCATCTGTGCGTCCGTGCCTGCGTTTGTCCATGCATCCACCCTGCGTCCGTTCATGCGTCCATGCGTCGGTGCAGTCATCCGTGAGTCCGTCCATGCATCTGTCTGTGTGTCCGTTTGTCCATTTATTCAACACTCCAAGTACCACCATCTCGCATGTTCTCATAATATATGCCGCATATTCACCGCGATCCAGCGGACATTCCAAGGACTAAACGAGAAATGGCACACGCACACTTCGTTACGGCTTGCGCTTCGTGTCTACTTCCCACCTTTAACCACTTCGAGTTCATGCTATATACTAGTTCAATGTATTCATGGCACTGCGGCCCGACGCTCGCTAATCCTCTCTAAAACCAAGGAAGTTATGCCCCACGAGTATAACGTTTCAACCCTTCCTTGTCAGACAGTGGTCAATGTACATGCCAATGACTGCTAACTGGGAATGAGGGACAGAAAAATTCGGCTTTTAGTAAACGCGCACGCTGCGAATTTTTTATTGTTCACCAAAGCATAGAAGAAATCTCTCACCGGCCCCACCTTTGAGGTCAAAATCTAAGACTGGTTACACACTACGACTACTACCACGGCTACGAAGGACGAAAAGGTGCCGCTATAAGAAGCTTCGCCCCTAAAATAAAAGTTGGCCCCGCGCTGCTCGGCCTCCTGGAAGCTTCGCAGCGCTTGCGGAGCGCTAGGATTAAACGCAAACGCACCCACTCACACAGCAGCGTACTATGCGGGCGCCGTCGGCAGTCATCAACTGTGGGGCTATCTTTAAGCCCGCGCTCAGCACACTAGCCAGTATATTTCTAGGCACTGTAATACTGGGCCCTTCATGATTCGCTCACAGACGTTTTCTTAGGTCCACATATACAAAATTTGGCGTTAGGTGACATAAATAAAGGACGAAATATATGACTGGTGTAAACATGATAGTCCTAGCACGTGTCATGTATGAATAGGAGAACATACTACGTTCATAGCGTGTTCGCGGCCGTTTCGGTAGCTCCACATATACTAAATTTGGTATCACATGACGTAAATAGATGATGAAGGGAAACGACACATCCAAACATGATAATCATGTCACAGAAGTCATGTACAGAATCATTTAACTCCACCTCGTAACAATGTGCTGATTTTAAAGTGGCGTATCAACATTTCGTGCTTCACATACCATCGATTTCCACTGTACGCGAGATCTGCATATTTTTTTTGATGTGCCCTAGCTGGAACTTTATTCAATATAAATATATATACTCAAAGCATTCCAGACTTGAATTCGTAAAACGTTTTTGACTCAATCTTTTTTTTTCTTTTTAGGGGACTCTGTCTACTTTGATCTCCGTTTGAGAAATTCTTCTGTTTCCAGAATACCTCATAAAGCCTGTCGAAATTACTTTCAACGTGTGATCGGAAACCAACGCCCTATGGTCGTGTACAGGCCTGACTGCCAGTGGCTATATTTAGGCAAGGGAAGTAAAAAAGTATAACTTTTTACCGGGGTGTTATATTTATTTGAAAAGAAACTTCATATTAACAATGCTGACATTCATTTTATCTATAGTTTCAACTACTCTAACAAAGATCTGTACGTTTTTCAATGACTTTCTGCTATGAAAACTGCAATATCGCCACTGTGGGACATTATTAAAGTGAAATTGAACAGACACTGAACTTACTTGGCAATTTAGTCACTATAACTACAGTCACTATAAGTCCGCCCAAATAAGAAAATGTTCATAGGATGACTGTTGGTGCGTTGACGATAATAACTTAGGCTTTGGCTAAATAACGAATATATTGTTCACACAGAGCATGCTTATTTTGTTCATTTTTGTCAAGATTGGATTTACTCATGTCGATCATCCTTTCATCATAGTGTTTATCAAAAGATATACGGGCAACAACTATAATATAGGATATCAAAACAACACAAAGTAAGGCATAATACACTACCACAGGCCTATCAATACAGTTTGTGATTACGTTGTTTAGGAGATGATCGCCAGAACACGCAACAGTGCGCTCTGTTGTTTTATTTATTTTGAAGTGTACCTAACAGCCTCGGATCCTACCTCGCAGCCACAAAGGAAACATAACCACGCAAGTTGTGGTATACGTGTTCATTAAATTCAGAGCGACTGTCTCTTTGCTACATTTAGTGATGGCGCCTGCTAACGTCAATATTTATGTGGTTGTGAATTACTGTCTCATTCACGGTATGCCTTTTTACTTCGGTTATAACTGTAGGAAGTCCCATATTACAGAGCTACTTCTGTTCATGGTTCTGTGAGCTCTCCCCGGTAACCATCACCAAGGTCGCATTCCGCTTCAGCTGAGCTGGAAACCTTTATTCAGCCACAAAGAGGATTCCAACTAAATTAGTCTCCGTCTATTTACAGAATCTCTATACGAACACTGCGTGCGCACGCAAGCGCCCGTGTGTGTGTGTGTTTCGCATATTTTCTATGCTTTCCAGGCTCGGGTGGCTTTTCTGAATAGTGTGAAACGGAATGTCAACCACTCGGTTTTCCAGTCCAGCTAACGTGCATCTACAAGAAAATTGTCTTTTATTGCGTCCAGATTAGTTGCAGTGTAAATTTCGGATGCTAGAATAGATTCACAGCAGTTCTTGGCGTAGACCAGACATTAGGCAGCGGTGTCCTTCAGTTTCCCTGCACACGCCCCTAGTAGCCAAGTGCCTGGTGGTAAGCACGTGACATTTGCCTCCCTCCGAAAGAAGCATCGTCCCGATGCGTAGCCCTGACGTGGACCTGCCAGGACCTGGATTGGCTCGGTAGTTCACTCGGCCGCCAGGATACAGGTGCTGTTGTCGGTGTATAGTCGCCGATCACTTCCGTAAACACGGAGCCGGCGCCAGCACCACGCAGGGCGTCGAGCAAAGCCTGGTGCGGGACTGAACCAAACGCGTTGTGAAAGTCCAACAGCGCCGCACACAGGTCGGGGCCTCCCGATCAGGCGATGTCGAGCCTGCGTTGTAGATTAGATTTAAGTTCGAACGCGCCGTCGTGCGAAAGGAAGCCCTTCTGGCACTTCAACGATACGGCGTGTTCGATCATCCAGGCCTGGAGCCGGGCTGCAGGGCACTTGGCATAGAACTTCGATGCCGTGCAGCCGAGGGCTATGGGCCGCCAGTTTAAAGGGACTTGCGGATTTCCCCTCTTGAAGATGAGGATGGTCCGCGTCGTCCTCCAGGAGTCCGGCGTTCGGGGGTGGTGAAGGCAGGCGTTGAACAACGCTGTCAAGAACCGTGGCTTCGGGTCGACCATTCGCCAGTGATGATAGGTTAAACGGTCTGCGACCCGTGTTCTCAGACTTGCGTAAACGCACGTACACCTCGTCCGTCGAAAAGTTCGACGTGTCGACGCCCGCCGGAGCCGGATCGCATCCGAGTAGCAGGGTAGAGTCGGCTTGGCGAGCCGACCACGTGCGTCCCCAGTGATCTTGAAGGTCCTGCAACGGGATGGCACACGTCTGTGGCAGTCCCTTTAAGATAAGTCGGACTGCGCGGCGACGGTTGCGGCGGTACAGCCGCTGAACGTCGACCGCGTTGGAAGGGTCGGGCTCGCGGCGCTGGCGACCAGGACGCACCAGTAGGAGACGCATCGCCGCGACAGCCAAGGCGACGACCCGCATCCTAACTGCCTCACCTTGAGCCCACTACACATCAGAGGGTGGGTCTCGCAACAAGAAGCGGAGCAGGCGTGCCTCGTACTCGAGGAGGCGCGTGTGGTCCGGTGGCATCTGCAGCGTCGCGGAGTCTGACTCGGGCTGCTCCGGTACTTCGTCGGGATCGTCAGGAACCGCCGCGGCCTCGTCCACGGACGCGGGCGGCGACGCGAACTACTCGACCACCAAGAAGGAGTGTCTCGCCGTCGTGTGGGCAGTCATCAAATTTCGTCCGTATTTGTACGGCCGCTCCTTCAAGGTTGTCAGCGATCATCACTCTTTGTGCTGGCTCACCAACCTCCAAGATCCATCTGGTCGTTTGGCGCGCTGGAGCCTAAGACTTCAAGAGTTTGACATGATCGTTGTCTATAAATCTGGGAAGAGGCACACCGACGCCGACTGTCTCTCATGGTCGCCAGTGGAAACTGTCACTCCTGATGACGAAAACATCGAAGCGGCTTTCTTGGAAGTTGTCAACACAGCCACTATTGCACGAAAGCAGCGCAGTGACCCTGAGTTGTTACCACTCATTGAATATTTAGAAGGACGACGTAAAGACGTGCCGCGGTTATTTGCTGGAGGACTGCCACCTTTTTTCTTGCGAAATGATGTTCTCTATAAGAAGAACTTCTCACCAACAGGTAACCCGCACTTCCTCGTCGTGCCTGCCTCTCTTCGAAAAGAAATTATGGAAGCGTGCCGTGAAAAAGCAACTTCTGGTCATCTATGCTACACCCGAACATTGTGCCGACTACGATGCAAGTACTACTGGCCGAAGTTACCTGCTGCTGTTAACCATCACGTGCAAACTTGCACCGACTGCCAAAGACGCAAAGCGCCTCCCAGCAAGCCAGCTGGTCTTTTACATCTAGTCGAAGCACCAGAAAAGCCGTTCACCTAGACTGGAATGGATTTTCTGGGTCCCTTTCCAACTTCCACTACAGGGAACAGATGCATTATTGTGGTCACTGATTACCTGTCCATTTATGCGGAGACTACAGCTATGCAGCGCGGCACAGCAGCAGAAGCCGCTCAATTCGTCATCGAAAACATCGTCCTTCGGCATGGCGCTCCGACAACAGTGATCACTGACAGAGGACCTGCCTTCACCGCAGAGCTTTGGAGTCGGTTCGCAGACTCAGCAGTACAGCTCACCGGAGAACAACTGCATACCTTTCGCAGACAAACGGACGGACGGAGCGCCTCAATAGGACCCTCACAGACGTGATCAGCATGTACGTTGACACGGAACATAAAAACTGGGATCAGATATTGCCGTACGTGACCTTTGCTTATAACACCGCTCGACAAGAAACCACTGGAATGACACCGTTCAGTCTGATCTATGGCCGCGAAGTCACGACAACATTGGAAGCCATGTTGCCGTATGAGTTTGACAACATCCATGTAGACGCCGAGGAATTCACTCAGCGGGCCGAAGAAGCCAGACAGCTCGCGCGCGTGCGTATTTGTCATGAGCAGCATCAAGATGCACAACGCTACGACACCCGACACAAGTTTATCAGCTACTCACCAGGCGACAAAGGGTGGGTCTAGATTCCGATACGTCGACGTGGCCTGTCTGAGAAGCTGCTAAGACGGTACTTGGGTCCATACAGTGTCACGCGACGCTTGAACGACGTGAACTACGAAGTTGTTCCCGACACTGATTGCAGTTCTAAGGGCCAATAGCATTTAACCAAAGTCGTGCGTATGAAACCGTATTTATCGAGTTAATGAGCTCCCAGTTACCGTTTTCGTACGACCACTTCATACGCCTGGCAGAGCACCTAAGCTGCGCATCGGGACGATGCTTCTTTCGGAGGGAGGCAAATGTCACGCGCTTGCTCAAGAAAGACGATGACAGTTGCGCATGTGCCACGAAGGACAACGAAATGGACGAAGAGGAAGAACTCAAAAGATCGACCTCCTTCTGGTGTCTCAATCTCTGCGGCAAGACCTCTGTTTTGACGTGGTGACAATATATATATATATATATATATGTATATATATGTATATATATATATATATATATATATATATATATATATATATATATATATATATATATATATATATATATATATATATATATATATTGAAAAAGGGTTTATTGACGACTGTTGCGACGGTGGTCCTACAAAGAAACACGATCGTGCAAGAGCAACGGTCAAGCAGATGCCGGCGATGATCAGCACGAGCCGAGCGAGCGAAGCCCAGCACCCAGTACCCAAGCGGTGGCGATGTTGCTTGCCAACGACGCTCTTTCTTCTTCACAATTTGCCCCCGCCGAAAAAGAGCCATCCTGGCGACCTAAGAGTCTGGAGGCAGAGGGCTATAATATGGCTTAAGGCGGGCGACGTGGACGATGTCACGTCCACGCCGGCGCATGTCGTCAGATGGGGAAAGTGGCTCGATGAGAAAATTCACCGGCAAGGTTTGCTCTAAAACGCGGTATGGGCCCTCGTACTTTGAAACGAGTTTTGAGGAAATGCCGGGGGTTTGGTAAGGAACAGCCAGCCATACAAGTGATCCCGGGTAATAGCTGGGGCTTTGTGAAGAGTCGACGTTGTTTTCTTTCTGGCGCTGTTGTTCTCGAGACGTAAAGGTGCGTGCGAGTTCACGGCACTCTTCCGCATTTCGGGCAGCTTCGGACACAGATGGGCATTCGGATGCGTCAGGACGGTATGGAAGGAGAGTATCGAT